AACCCTCATTAAGGGCGTCGTAGCAAACAAAACAACACGCGGCGAACCGGTCACCAGGGAGAGTTTCATCCTACCAAGTAGAATGGGGCCTCAAAAATCGGAAAAATTAATATTTTGCCTAAAAATTGTCAGATACGCGATATAGATTATATAAGAGTTTTTAAAAAAACCTTTAGGCTATTCACTTTTAGATTTCTTAAAAACTTTTCGCGGGTGATGGATATAATTTAAAATAAACGGTTTACTCCCAAATTTAGCATAATAAGATAAACTAAACCATTCAAATTATTGCTTTGTAGACGGTGACTTTACCTTATCACACATCAATTTATCCTTTTTCTCTTTGACGTAGCAGCTTTATAAAGCGAACTCTCAAAAGGTAGGGGGAAGACAGATAAGAACAGCGTTGTTTTTTTAAATCAATAGGAGTAATATTCATGGTACTGTTAATAGTGGCATGATCTACTTACGCAAGTTGTTAAGATAGATCCACGCAACCGAGAAGTATGCGCTTCATGTTTAATTAATTTTAACTGGTAAATCTAAACCGCTCAGATTATTTATAAATGTATATACATTCTTTTAATCCTTAAAAATAAAAAGGGAGAAGTGTACTGGAGAAATGCACTTCAACCCGTTTTATCTAAGAATTCGACTTTCGGGTAAGTTTGTGTTAGTACTGCAGGGGGTGACAGAAGGTTGACCACGTCCTGCGCTTCCCTCCAGCGAACTGGGACATCAGTGATCCTCCTTATGATGTATGGACAACCACTTGGAGTCAAGTTAAGACTAAGCGGTTTGCGCTCGACTTACCGAGCTTCCTCAAAAATCATTAAAAATAATAGAAAATAATGAATAATAATCAAGAAACTCCCTCCTTTTGGGTCAAGAGCTCATAGCCGAGAAGGTCAAACTGGCAGTGGTGCTGACCGGCGTCTCCAGGTAGCCTCGGGTCCTGTGCCTAAGGCCGCTTTTCCTGATGGTAGTTTTTTTTTTTAGCGGTTTTCCACCGCGCTAGACTATATGATGGGCGTCCGGGCAGGGATTTTTCCTTTTTTTCCAGTCCTTCAGCACAATCCTTATAGCTCTATAAAGAGTGTACACCAGTGGGTACTCGCGCTCTAACCCTTGCAGAAGAAAGGGAATTTATAATAAGCGGCTTAAACTCTCCTACGAAGACCGGCCAATAAGTATAAATAAACAGATAGATCAACTATATCGAGAAGAATATATAATAAAAACCTAGTAGGTATTATATCAATATGCCATAAACTTTGAAAAGGTCAATCGAATCTTTTTCAGTTGAAGTTCTAACTTACTACTATCTCCTATAGTACTCGTGGGAAGAAGACAATGAAAAAAATATATGAAAAGATACAATATAAGAATATCTTATAAATAATATGGTGATACATAATAGTTATATTAAGAATATAAACAATGTAAACAAATATTGCAATTTAATATAATTTTTGAAAAAGATATACTAATATAAAATATATATAATTATATATGAAGCTTATTTATAAAACATCAAAAAACGTCCTATCCTTTAAACCGTTTAGTTTAAATATAGTGTAGTGCTTAAACAAAGATGTAACATAAAAAGGCAAAAAACTTACTGAAGCGAGAAAGTGCTGATATTATGTATAATTTTTATAATATGAAAGATGTATATTATGCTCTTATGAATTTAGTTATTGATAATTAACAAATACATTACCCTTAAAGGAATTAATCATTTAATAAAAAAAATCTGAAGAACCGAACTTTATTAAATATTAATGACATGTAGCAAGGCAAGAGCGGGTGGATGACTCGGTGTATAACTTTATTAGTATTCTTATTATTACTATTAACTTTATATACCACGACTATTATTTTGTTTAATTATAAACTTACATTTACTATTTGACACTTTTGTCTTATATTATGAAGTACTCTTGTCAGGATATTAATCTTTTTATAAAATACTTTTGTCATGAGCTCTATTAACTTATCGTTTAATATAAATTCGTATATCCTAAATAACTTCCTTATAATGTTTAATATATTCTTGTCAACATTTTTTTATTGCAAAGAAATGAGGTTAGACGTTACTACTAATTTTAGCATTTCCATATTTTTGATTATAAGCCACTAACACAAATTTGTAAATATTACTGATAATAAAATTGTAAATGTCAATGGTTATAAAATTAACTGTATAATACTGTTTATATGTAGTTTTTGTAGGTTAGGGTTAGGTTAAGGTTAGGGGTTAGGCACTTTATTATTAATGTTTATTAATTTACTACTATAATTATTACTACCTTTGCATCATAACGTTAATATTCTTTCTATAGAACGTTTTATAAGAGTATTAGAAAGTGATTAATTAATAAGCTTTATATTTATATTACATAATTTATGTTAACTTTTTCTGTTAATATTTTTATTAAAGCTCATAAAATATTGTTTAACATTGTCTTGTTAATATATTATAGATCAATAATTTTTTTATAATAAATTTTTTTCTCTTATTTTTTAATATATTATATTCGTCTTGTCATTATCATTGGCCGAACTTTTTCATATATTTATATATAGATTCGTAGTTTTTATTACTATCTCGTGGAATATTTTTATATATTTTTCGTTTACTTTACCCATATATACATATGTTTATGTATATTATTTCATTATTATTATTATTACTTTAGTAATAACTATATAAATTATAAATATATTATTTACTTTAGCGTTTAATAATTTTAAATCAAGTTTTTGTATTATAAGGCTAATATTAAGCTTAAAACTTACTATTATGTATTTATCTAAGAGAGCATTAGTTATCTCGGTGTCTTTCGCGTGGAAGAGCATTTATATTCTTTTTGAAAACAAACTTTGATTGTTTCGAGAATATTCTGGTACAACCCCGTATATACTATCACCACAGGGCCGTGCGTGCACAATAGCAAAACGTGATAAATTAATAAGAAAGCGCTGGAAATCTTCCTACGAAAAAAACCATAATTCCGATTTTCTCGTTTGCTGCATAGAAAACTTTTTTATATAAATCACCTTTTAAAATTTTAGATTAAGCCATCTTTACTGTAATGCAAGTCTCTATAAAAGTTATTAATAATAATAATTAAAGTTAAAGTAAACTTGGGATTTAGAAAGCTATTGCTTGCAAAAAGAAAATTAGCACCCTCAATTATATTTATTCCTCAAGTGTAGCTTAATACTATCCTACGTAAAAATTTACTTTACTGCTATCCAAAATAAGCTACTAAGTTAATAGTACTCCGTGGTGAATTTATACAGAAATAACCAAAGATTTACATGTTTTTTGCAAAGATGCTCCTGAAAGGCGAGAGTAGGCTTACCTCTGTGGCTTATGTAGAAGTCACCCTTTACTAAAGTTATGTAGCCGAAACTAACTCTCCACGCTTCAACTTTCATTTTTTTTTTAAGCCTTTTTATGAAGGTTAAGTACAAATTGATGCCGGAAGAAACATTCCTATTTTACTTTTTTTTTCGTTCTACTTTAGTAGAGCATTTTAAGTAGCTATCATATCTAGAGTGCCACTTACTTATTTTGTTCTACTATAGTAGAACTTTATTAATAAATTTGCTAAAGTAGTTAAGTGGTATAACCTTACTTCTTTCCAGTAAAATCAATGGTTCATTTCTATTTTTAAACATAGCTGCCTAGGGGCAAGCAATTCAACTGGAACCTTTTTTAACCCCTCGTATGGCTAATATATTATAGTTGTACTAACTTTGTAGCTAAGGTTCTAAGATCAATTAGCAATGGTTCGCTTAAGTTGATACAATCATTCGCTTCGCTTTATTGAATGTCATTGAAGCTCCGCGTAATAACTTTTATTTTATTAAAGCTTAGGTGAATTGATCATTGTTATCTTAATCTCCTAGTGGTTAAAGCAACTAGCTAGCTTACCATTAGTGAATCTAAGGTCTCTAAACATACGTTAACGAGTATGAGACTGGAAATCAACGATGGAGAGGAGCTTAGTATTGAAGACGGAAAGTTTTATAGCTAATGGCTTCGAAGGATCCATATTTGAATTCAAGCTAACATCTGTAGACTTTGTAAAAGTTTCGGCCAACTCAGTGGAGAACACGGATATGCAATAGTACTATAAAGAAAAACTGTACAATAGAACTCTAAGGGAGTGATATAGATCAGGGAACCTAATGGTAGGGCGTATCTGTTGATAGTACCTTTGCTTAATATAAGCTTTCTAGTCTTCTTGGGCAGGACTTTACCGTGAAGATAGGTAAGTAATATGAAAAGGAAACATGAGGGATTTCAGCCTTGGCTAAATACTCAGCTTATTATAGTTAATAATTAGTTATAAAAGTAACTAGCTTGGTTTTTAACTCATTGAATGAATTTATTTTAATTGACATATGAGCAATCACCCTTCTAATTTAGACTCTGCTACTGACTTGCAGTGATCTAGTGCTTCTCTGTTAGCAGGAAGGATTGAGGAACCCAAGAGATACGTGATTTATCTTTTTAATTAAGGCAGAAGTTGGTTCTGCATCCTTCGTAAATACTTTACCGCGAGATATGCGTTACCGATTTTTTTGATATACATACCTGTCAGCGATCTAAGGTTGACAATAGGTCGCCACCCGGAGGTGGAATGCAGCGTGAATGCAAGAATACCTGAGCTGTCTTTCGCAAGATATAGCCAGCAGGCTGAGCTACTCGGGACTAACAAAAATTATTGAAGCATGAATATGGTACCTTCCCTCAGGTCTGCTCTATATGAAGGCTGCGTTAAACTAAACCAGTTGTAACCTGTTGTCTTGATGCTTGTCTGTACGTAGCGTTCTCTCAACTTATTAAAACACACCTAGTTATTTTTCTTTTAGTGAGTATAAACACTATTATTCCCACCCCCACCCCCTAAAATAAAAAAGTTATTTTTTCGCATCAAGTTTTTTAAAAACTCGTATTAAAAAACCGTGATCATCTCTCGTACCTTGATGAGCGAGATCCCCTGGACGCTCAACATGCTTATTATATCTATTATCTTACTTTAATGCTGGATGTACTCGGTATCTTGAGTTATTCACTGCGACCAAAGCGATGTAGGTAGGGAATGCAATCCCGCGCAAGATTGGGCTTTGCTGGATCAGCAAAATTACTTGTTTTCCTTGTTTTGCCAGTTTTTGTTACAGCCTGTAACTAACAGGAGTAAAAAATTAACTTATATTTTTCTAATTTGAAGGTTTTCTTATATTATGCGTATCTACAATAGGAAAATTTTAGCTGAAAAAAATCCTATTCTACTTGGACACTTCTCCATTCCCTATCAGGTAGCAACAGTTCAGAAACTTTCACTAAGAAAAATTTTGAAATTTAAAGTTATTAATTAAAAGATGAAATGGAGTGGTTAAGTATATTTTTTTTCAGTGCTTAAATTATTGATTTCAGAAAAAGGATTTTTAAAAAACTAATACGTCTAAGATATCTTCGTACGAAAGTTTCCTGCGGTTGAAACACTCGTTCTGTCTCGATGCTTGAAGGTGGAAATGTAAGGTGTTGGCACACCATCTCTAAATTTTTCCTTCGCTGTTGGCCTTACTCCCATTTTCCTTTATGATCGCATCCAAATTTTTCGGATCGTTAATTTGTGGTTTAGAAAGATTTTCGGCAATAGCCATATCAAGCTGTTCCTTGATCGACAAATTCTCCATTTGTGGAATTTTGTCATTGTTTTTCCTGGCTTTATCCTTAGCGTTCGGTTAACGTTCTTCTCACAGGTTAAACGTCTAACAAATATTTTTATTGTTTTCCGGATAATATATTGCTATGGACAAGTAAAGACTGTAGGGCCAATAGATTTTCTTTTGAATGCTCTCGGATTATGAAGAAAAATCAAGACTTGCGTCAATGCCCCTTCTTTCAGTTAATTTTTTTTCAATACCTGTAGATAATTCATTGCTCAACTTATTCTTTAGTTGATCCAATTTCTTTACTAAAATTTCCAGGGCGGTTTCAGCTGTTAATAAATTCGTGCTGCGCCTGCCGAGACCTCGACGACCGCTTAAAATAGGCTTAAGTGCGCTATGGATATTTTGGAGTAATTGCCATTCTGATTCACAAAAACTTATTTCCGCATGCAACATCACTAACAATGCTACTGTAACACAGGTCGTTAGCTTTAAAATCTTCCTACCATACCATGTTGACTACTCCATCTAGTCTTACAATCCAATTACAAACATAATTTTCTTCCAAACTGATCTGTTACAATATTTTTGGCGGATAAATCTCCTTTTTTACTGGAGATTTTCCGATCAACTTCACAATTTTACGGACTTTGTTAATTATTTCTTTATAATATTCTACTAATTCCGTTAATGAAACTTCGTTTTCAAATTCGGTGAATGCTGCATCGTCCGATTCATCCGAGGCAGAATCCTCCTTTTCGCTTTCAATCTCAGTTTCAATTTCTTCTTCCACTTTATCGTTTTTTTTTTGTAAAAGAAAAAATATCTAAGACAGCTAACCGAAGGCTATGAAGATAATACTGCGCTTGTTCTACAAGAAAAACACAAATTTATTTATTTAAGCAAAGTAAATTTTTAAATCTTTTAAATTTATAACCTAACAACATCTAGCTCTGCATTTAACAGTTTCTCCGTTCTTATGATTATACTAGCACCATCATTACAAACAGCTACTATAACTTTTCGAGTGACAATAAAATGACATTAAACTATTTTCTAAAATTTCGATAATTTTCTCGGCAGGCATTTTTCCTCTCAACCGAGCGAGTCCCAAGTTGTAATTATGATTAGAATTTTTAACGGAGTAATGAACGTTTACACTTAAGTAGCGTCGGTTTCTTTTAGAGGTCCATTCGTCTAACGTTACTGAAAATCTACGATAAAAAATATGTTATACATACATACCGTTTAAAATGGAAGAAAAAGAGAAAAAAAAAAAATTACCTATTATTTCAACGATACAAAGCAAGAATTTCCTCATTCATTCCATTTTTAACCGACTTTCCACATATTCCTAACAGTATGCTCTGAAACCGGTAAAATATGCCCCCTTTTTAACGTATAGCTTTCTTAAATCCGTCGAAGTAACAAAAGATTTAAATGGAAAACCATCTATTGCAACTATTTGCGATATCATAGTGATTTCGTTTATATATGGGAAATAATCCTCTAAATTCCTTTTTTTTAGTTGAACGAAATATCGCTCATCAAAATCGACATCCGGTTTATTCCAGGTTCGGCCCCTTTTGAAAAATGGACGGTGTTAATTCCTCTGTGATTTTTAAATCGATCATACGAACGGCCTTCAAGTAAATGTGCAATCCCCTTATCAATCTAGCACTCAATTTTATAACTACGATATATTCTTTGCACTTTGCAGATTTTTTATTCGTACTTATTGAAAATTCTATGGAGATGCCGGGCCCGAAACCACTTGTTCAAAGTAACTATTTTCTTTTTTTTTACTCATTGGAATAAAAAAAAAACAAAGCATCCGAATATGGGTTACAAGTTTAATTTTAAGTCGAAAATTAACAAAAGTGTAAGTTTACCTCGCAAAAAGACTATTATTAATAGCAAGTGACAGACCATACTAAACAGAACATGTCGGTGTTATGAGTCATAAGCACATCATAAGAAAAAAAATATATAAACGTACAAACGAAAGGATCTTAAAATGTTTTGTGAGGATTGCTGCAAAAAAAAATATTAATAAATTAAAAGATTACATCTTTATTTTTATCCCTGAAAAGCGTGGGATCCCCCTTGCACTCTCTAGTTGTAGGCTTTGCGCCAACATGTAAAGAGCCATTATTGGCAACTGTGGTGCTACTTGTAGTGTGTAGCGGTGTCGACGGTCCATAACTTACGAGCCTAGCAATGGTTTTGTAGGCTGTGTAGTAGAGTGAGGATTGCTTTATGTCCCTAGGCTACTATCGTAAAGCGCACGAAAAAGCTCATGTCAATATAAAAAATTTGGCAGTTCTACTTGAGTTAGTCTTTACCGAACTGCAAGGAGATGTCATGTACTTTCCTTCATGTCATTAACTCGACACGGTGGATTACCATCCGAGTATTGATTGCGGAGTGTAACCTGACAACTTTATGACGGTTAGTAACCCTCTACTATTTGGGGGTTTCTTTGACCTAAGCTGAAAACATTTAAGCAGGTTTCAGGTAACCTACTTTGATCTTCAAAGAAATGATTAACCCCCTTTCTCACCCCCAAGTCGTAACTGTGGTTACCTTGCTTTGTCCTAAAGTTATCAAGCTTCTTGTTCACCTTGGAGAGTTCTAAAGTTGTCTCTAAGCACGGTTCTAAGGAATTACTCTTAAAAATGGAAAAAACTCACGAGGAATATTGATCATCGGCAGGTTCTTGTGACCTTTACAGGTTGAGCTTCTGATTCCGGTAACATTCAGTCCCCCCCGGAGATTCAAGTGGTCGCATCAACTGATGAAGTTTGCACCAGTAAGTGGTCGTTTATTGCTGCTGCTGGTATACTACCGTACTGCCCGAGCGTGTTCCTTGCTGGTTTCTACCTGGGGCCCGCAGAGCCTTGCGGTTGAAGGTTTAGTTATGCAATAGCAGATTTAGCTTAGTCTGGCTAATAATTTTCACAGAGTTCTATGCTGTTGAGTTGTGACTTGACAAATAATGCTTACTTCTCAAAAATGGTAGCATTTAGTGTGATACTATATTAGAAGCACTGATACAACAGTGCTATACTAGTATATATATATATGCCCTGGCCTCCCCAACTTATTCAGTTAAATCAAAATAATTTAAAGTTGTAAATCAATATTATTTTATTATTTATTAGTTTAGTACAAACTAGAAAAAGTACTAAAACAGATAAAAAAATATATTCATAAATAAATTAAATTTTAATCTACTTAATTTCATAAGACTTTCTATATCGTGTTATTATTAGCTTTCTAATTTTTTTTTAATTTCCCTTGCTGATCTTCAACGCTACTTTGCAAATTACTAAAAAATGATATTTGTCATTTTAAGTATTCCTCTTTGAATTCCTTAGTATTTTGATTTTCTACTAGAGTTTCCAAAGATTCAAAAATATTAAACCGAGACTTGATAATATCGGCCATTAACTTTTGCCGAACAGCCTTTTCTTTAGGAGATGGTCGAAAATATTTCAAATAACCGTCCCAAGGAACCTATTAGTAGCGTATATAAAAAAGGAAGCCAAGATTTTTTAATAATTATAGATTTATTTAATTGTAAATAGATATTTTTTCAATCACGTAATGGTATAAAAAGTCCCGCCTTTAAAAAGTAAAAGCATCTGCATGTTTCGTAAATATATATACTTCAAAAATGTAATTGTTTTTATAAGGTCAGACTAACGATTATACAAAAACTAATTTCTGTTTTAATCTTAAAAGTTAGTGCTTCGTTAAAGGGACACAATAATTACTCAGAAACAATTATTAATAGCTATCACAAAAAAACTACAGGCTTCAGTCCAGCCTTCTGGCAAATCATGTGCTTAACGCGAGCTGCAAACTCTATAGCGGTCTCGTCCTCGCGCTGTGTTTGAGGATCCATGTACCAAACATCCGCTACCACGCACCACGAGGTCGTAAGTCGCAGAATATAGCGGGGAAAGGAGTGCACTTGAGAGTTCCAAAAAGTATCTGCAAAGATTCGCTGGTACTTAATAGCTAATGATGGAAGCCAAGTAAGCAAAGCGACAAAGTAAAAAAAACAATATTATCGACCAATTGGGACCACAGTGGCACCCAAGGCAAAGGCCCCTCTCTTAAACATAACAGCATAGTGGTTATTAACACATGTACCTGCGGGCGGATATTTATTTTAAATATTGGTATCAACAGGGACGGATACCGGCCAGCACCTTCGGGAAACACAATAAGGGGCGGTTTTGATTCGTCTAATATATGCTCTTTGATTTTCCGAGAGACAAGTTGACGGTCTTTTTGGGCCATGCGATCGAACCACAAGTTAGACATGCAGCTCAGAATGTAGTTTTGTAGAAAACCAACAAAGCCTTCAATAGAAAAAGAGTTATAATCGTTGCTTGCTTATACTTTAAACTAAATTATAATGCAACAGCATTGTAAAATCAGCTGAAATGAAAAACGAACATGGTACTGTTCTTTGGTTCTTTGGTGTACACATACAATTTACCAACCAATAAAAATGCATTTTAAATAAAATGTAGAGAGTTGATAGGCCTACAGCCCGCCAATCCTGCTCCCGCTTATACCTCCAACAGACTCGATATACTAAAAAGAGGTTTCAGCTTGATAAAAAAAAACTCAAGTGGGTGGTCTAGGAGGTAGCCAGCAACCTATTGCTTTCCATATGGTAGAGTCATATTTTGACTAGCTAGCAGGACTAGGCGACCCGTATAATGCAAGATTTATCAGACACCCCCAAAAGGTCTTTCACGTTAATAAGATTTTCCTACGAGCCTTTTACATTTATATACTAAAACTTTCTACACTATTATTTTATAATAAAATAGCCTTAAAACTCTCTATCTCTACAAAAAAAATAATAACACGAAGCAAAGTTTTTTACAAAGTATCGCTAACTTCCAAGGAAACATTAATTGGTTAAAAAGAGCGTAATAGTTAGTTAAAGTACCTGAATGTTTTTGACCAACCACACAAAAGATTCGGTCATTTAAGAGAAGAATCAAGTCAATCAGCGACGTGTGATTGGCTACGAATATTTGGTTGACTTTCCGAGCTGGACATTTCCCATGATATTTAATGACGCCCGTCCACGAGGCGACTGTTATGCATAAATATAAATACTACAAAACCATAAAAACAAAAAAAATTGTTCATAGATAAATTTTTATATTATTAGCACTATTATTATCGACGGACCCCACATAAATCCAAACAACTTTAGAGACTTCTGCTGGTATAGTTCTCTTTTCTTTCCTTTAAAAAGAAGAGTTCCCGCATAAGAAAGCCCAAATATAACAAAACCAAGAAATAATATTAAGCAGCGCATCGGAAAAAGAACGCAGTAGCGAATGAAAACTCCTGATAATAACAATTATAGTATAAATAATAATAATATAAAAAAGGAAGAGAATAACAATAAACGTAAGATATAAAATTTGTAATTATTATAAAGTTTTATAAAATCTTATATATATAATAACAGTAAGAAAATAGTACTTCGGAAAAAAAATTTAAGATAATTAATTTAAAATCTTTTTAAAAATTAAATTTCTTTAATTTAATTAAAATATAACCTATTATATAAGTAGGAAATAAATAGATATTCCAGTTCCAGTGCTCTTCTGCTAAAAGTTCAAAGCTGTATTGAAAGATATATCATAAATAGAATGAAAAAGCAAAATAATTAAATAATTAAATTATATAATTTGAATTAAAATTTATATAAAATATTAAATGTAAGTAAAATTTAAAAATACAATAATTTTATTAAAAAAAATTAAGTAGCATCTCTTAAAATAAGCATAAGAAATTAAGATTACGAGATTTTTATTAACAGGAATTATAAATTATTAAAACAGAAAATTATATAAAAATTTCAATTTACCAAGTAAATATACTTAAACGAAAATTGGTAAATGTTAAACTTGAAATCTAACACTTTTTAAAATGAATCAAAAATTTAAAATCACGTTAACAGTTTAATAAATTTTACACAAAAAAACTTAAAGATTAGCAAATTAATTATTAATAAAATTAGAATATATATATTATCTATAATACATATAGCTTAAATTCACCAATAATTAAAAAATTTCTAAGAAAAATAAAATTTTTTTAATCAAAAATAATTAACGTTATAAAAATATTATAAAAATAAAAGCCAAATTATAGTTTTCATATACTGCAATTTCAGCCGTTCAATTTAATATTTACTATAAAATCCAAAATTCAACTATTTTTTTTTCTATATTAATTTTACTAATATATAACAAAACTTTATATAAATAAATTTTGTATTGCCATTGCGTAAAAGAATCTTTGACGATGCATTCTATTCCGTTAGTGACAAATGGAGCCATGTCCAAAAAACCGAACCTAATTAATATAATTAAAAAATTGTAAACGGGAATTAAAAAAATTAACTAATTACGTTGTTGATCGTTTGTAGCTGGGAGAACTTTCCAGTAAAATTTGTGAGCTAAAACTTTTTAAAAATACTCTTTGAAAATATCTGTGCAGAGATTCCATATCGGCAGGGGTGCCTCTTTATATTTAGTAAAAAATTTAATGCTTAAATTTATTTTTTTAATTAAAATTTATCGAAGAATAATTAGAAATTCCCAAAACAAGACAAGACTTACGCAAACAGCGCTCCGAAGCCCAAAGAGTTTGCATCAGTGGAAAAAGAAGGCATTGTTTGAAATAAATTTTTGAAGTACTTTTCAAAAAGTGGTCGAAACTGTTTGGGTATTTTTTCAGTTTTTCGTATATAAATATTAAACGCCTGATCCATAGACAAACTATGAAGAACTCTATGACTTTGGTTATTAGGAATTTCAGGAAGGGAATAACACGTACCGCACTCAGAAGGATGTTTTTCATTTTTTTTAAAAGTAGAGTTTACTTGTACAAAAGAGGTGGGATTGTCTTCTTTCTCTAATTGTAAAAAATCTTCTCTTATAGAATCAATATACTGTGAACTCATTGCTAAGTGCTTTGAATATAAACCACAAGGAAGTACAATTTAAGATTCTCACTTAACAAAATCAAAGACGTGACGTTAATACATGTACGGAAGACTCCATGGTATTTAATAAACAGTTGAAGATAAAAAACAGTTAAAGAACGTAAGTGAACTCTTTTCTGCTTGATAATAAAAACTTAATGACGTAATACGAGCGCTCTTTATGTAAGCCGTAATGGATTTATTCTAACAGTCAGTTTACCTTGAGGTTTTTGCTGATGGCTAAAATCTGTCTCGACCAACTTTTACTTTTACTCTGAAAAATACTTTCTTTATAATTATAATAGAAATGTTAAAATTCTAAAGCTAATCTCTTCAGTAGTTATAATTCCAGGTGGACGTAAGGTATAACATTCACCATGTAAAAATTTAGTATCGTTAATTACTCGACTTGTTCTGTAAAGAATAATATAGGCAGATCTCATACTGAATTGTTAACTCAAAAAAATTATGTTATAGTTTTTACCAATTCAGTGACTAGAATTCTAGTTAATTAAACTAAATTTTGTGCAAGGCGTATTTAAAAATTGTATGTTTGTTTCCTGGTTAAAAAGTGTCTAGTTTAAAAGTTAAGTATTTATCTTTATTTGGGTCGGTCAGAAATTTTAAAAAGTTAACGCTATTTATAAATTTATTTGCGCAACAGTTGACTTTAAAAAGATTATTTATCAAGGTCATTTTTAACTATTTGACTGTAATTTATTATTAAGTTTAAATTATGTTCTCTTTTTAGCCTTTATTTCTAAGAAGGATTACAATACATTAATAACTAGAATATATTAAATTATTATAAAAAGGGTTTTAACTATAATATATCTGTAATAAAATATAGCTCAGTACAAAGAGTTTTTTTCTTGTAAATAAAAGTCGGCAAAGGAAATTAATAAATAATAGCTACCTGCATATTAACTTAGTGCAAGTGAATAATTGCTTTTCCCGTCAAACCGTACTTTAAACAGGCCATGTTTTATTTTTAAATAAGTACGTGTTTAACTATTTCTAATGGCTTTTTTTTTGATATGTACTATTGGTGTGCTTCCTCCATTTTTTTAATTACTATTTCTCTATAGTATATAGTACTTAGCTATAAAAACCACAGACAGTGGAAAAGGAATTTTGCTTTTTATTCCTGGCAAAATGCTTAGGAGATAAATTCGAGGAAAAAAGGTGGTAATCGGTACACATTAAAATAGTTATAGTTTAAATAACTATATAAGCATTATATAACACTAATAACTGTTATAACACTGCGCCTACTTTAATAAAGTAGTTAATTAAATTTGATTCTGATAGCACATATTGTGTAAATTATTTATTTAAGCATCTTAATAGTACTCATAAAAAAGAACTTGAATTTATTTTATAATCAACTGGTATTAGTATAAACTTTTACTAACTATCTACTTAAAATGATATACAAAAATAGCATTTAAGGTAGTAAGCACCATTATTTATGATATCAACAAAAGGAATAAAGAAAAATTCGGTCGGTAGGTCATCAATGTAAAGTTGGCCCCCTTCAATATCTTTTAAACTACAAAGTAACCATTAGAGTAAAAATGACACGTTGGCGGTAAAGTATATCATTGTAGTATATTATATTGCGTGAGACATTTTAGTCGGAGAGTCATAATTAACATAATTGACAAAGAATACTTAAATATTTTGAACAATGCGCTGTTTGAAAACTATATATTTAACAAAGATTAAATGTAACTAAATGCTACAAGATTAATTTTGTTTAACTTACTTTTAAGTGCCTGCTTAAAAAGATTTTGGGAGTTCACCACTGAATGTAGGAGGGTAGACGCATATGCTAATGAGTTTCTAAGTATTTTAATTTAACTTTTTTGAAATGTACTTTCCAATTATGCGATCTTACTAAGTGTTTAAAATGAAAAGTTTAATTAATTATTTCTAGCTCACCTATTCTTATATTATACCTTTTTTTTTAAATTATTTTTTAACTTCTCAACAATTTTGATTAATAGCTATTAATCGGTCATTAACTTAGAATACATTGAACACGAAATCTACTTTCACTCTCAAAAATGCTTGGTTAAATCCTGTACCTTTTTCTTTTCTGTATTCACCATCAAAATATTTATGCTCTTAGAAACTTAGTATATAATTGCCGTATAAAATGATTTATTACTCGACACTTTATTTTAATAACACATAAAGCGAGCCGTGCAATGTAAGTCAATAATTTTAAATAAAACTATAGAAAAAATCGTAATGGCCTTTTATTAAAAGTGAACAAAGGTATAGCTAGGCCCTTAAAAATTTCATCTCTAGATTAATTGTTAAGAGTATTTTACTTTAGCCTTCTTTAATCTATTACTATAAGGTAGCTTTTTACTAATTAATAATTAGAGGAACTGTAACTTTTGTGATATTTGATATATACCTGTTATTCATGAGACCGTATAAGCTTCTGGGTTCTTTATAGCTCATGAGCTATATATAAACAAGGACGTTTGCTTTTAGTGCCTAGTCAAACAGCTCTTAGTACCCGACAAAAAATATTTTTTGTCATGATCTATAATTATCGGATTGATCTTTACCTTCATCAGTCTTCCAGGACCTGTAAACATTACATGCTTGCCTTTAAGTTACCCACTCTAGGCTAAAACAAAATCTATAAAGAAAGCAATGGGGTTAATAACCAGAAAATTTAAGGTTTTAATTATATATATGTGATATTAAGAGTTGCTGAGCGACAGATTAGTGTGAAGCGCGGAGTTAAATAAAATTCACCATTAAAAAACGTGTATATCGTGGGGACCTCGATAAATTTCTGTGCCCATCGGCTGATTGTGTGTAATCGCCCTTAAGCAACATGACTGCGCTTTATAAAAATTTCATAAAGTTGCAACATTCAGATGAAAGAGTAAAAGGTGAAGAAAACACAATGTATTTATAAACGCTCTTCGCCGGTATGACACTAAGCTTTAATGTAGGCACTATTAGCTAGTTTCTTCGGGTACCACTGCAGCTGCTGATGTATTATCTACAGGCTTTCGACATCGCGTAGGCTTGTCTGCAAAGAGCCGTTCTTAAGAAGGACTAGGTTTATTGCATAGGTGTTTGAGGTGTCAGCATGCATAGGTTGAGTCGGTCTCCGCAATTGTCTTATAACTTCTTTTTGAGTTTTCCACTCCACTGTTTTAAGCAGCAAGTTCTCGATAGAAGGCATCACAGAGAATGGCTGGCGAGTAACGTTTTTTTCGCGCTTAGTAGTCAAATACGGTAGCGGGTTATTTCTAGATTGCTAACGTTGTTTGTTCTCACGTACTATTCAAATGCCGGATCCTTGATGCTTCTCAAACATTAGGATTAGGAGAGTAATTAAAAGTTTCTACGCACCGAAAATAGCAATGCCTCCTTTGCGCTTGTAAGATAGTTAAATCAATAAACTGTTATTACAGGTACATTACGCTCTTACCGCGAACCAGGCCGTTAACATCTCATCGCCAAAAATGTCGGTGGCACAATGAGCTGGAGCTTACAACCATATTCGGTGGTTATGTTGCTTATCGCTCAAGTTTTCATTCAGAAGCATAGTATGACAAAGTCTCTCCGGTACTCAGCATATCTGCAGTGAAGTAACAAGTTGTTACTGTAGTTAGCCTTGTTGCCTACGCAAAGCCTCCCTTGACGTGGCTTAAATATCATTATCGGTGTCACCGTTAGAGTTTCCTTCGGCCATTACCACTCAGAGGATGTAATAGTGGATAACTCAGTAAAATATATTAAATAATTTATAATCATTAAGTAAGGTATTACTGACGGCTAATAATTATTAATTAGTTTTATTCCATACGTTTATTGGAATATATTGTTTTCATTTAGTTTCATAGGAAAGCAGTACATAAAACAGTCCCATTGGTTAAGTTTTTAATTTGTTGCTGGTGAAATCTCGCTTTTTTTAATCTTTATTTGAACTATATTTTATGCTTTTCTTCGTTTTTCGTACTTTTACATTTTGTTTAATATCTTCTTTTTTTTTTTGTGTTTCTACTATATGTAAAAAAATTATGTCCAGATATTTAAGTTCTATATATTTTTTTCTTATTAACTTCACTTCATGTTAAACTCGGTTTGTTTTGTCCATTAGAGTTCACCGTATGAAAAGTTGATCCTCTAAAAGGATGGCGCCACGCATTGGTAGTTTTATGAAGTCCTCATTTTAAAGAAGCTATTCTTAGTTTTTTGTTGACCTTCAACTTTCAAGCAGTTTCATTAATAGTTTTAAAATTTTCAAAAAGGCCTATGTGAGTGATTTTTTCTATGCATGAACCAGTAATATCGATATTGAATTCTTTGCATATTTCTAAATGAAAAAAGAAATAGATTGTTTTTTCTTCTTTTTTTTCCTATTATACAACTTTCCTTCGTTACATACCTCACAAGGAAAGATAAAGAAATTGGTGCATATAATACCTGCTATTTCAAAGCTTTCTATCTTAGCTCTTCTTGTGTCCTTGGACCACCTACCCTTCTAGAAATGATCTAGCTGAATAGAAGGCTACCTTTTGAACATAACTATATATTTAGTATAAATCGTCACTTTTGTAGCCAGGAGATCGTGTTTTATGTTTAATAAAAATGTTTAATTTCTCATCATACTAAAAGATGGCCTTTCGATCATTCAGTAATAGGGCCCTTTCTTGTTTACTACAACAGATTTTTTACTTACTCAACGTAGCAGAGTCGGTAGTACTTAATAATCTTTGTCATCAATGGCTTGAAAATTTTCTTAAATTTGTGTTCTCTGCTGTAATAACATTTGGGTGATTTGCCTACTTTATGAAATAACTAGTTTTCAACTAATGGGTGAGGTTTGGACTTATCTACCTTTTTTTTTTTTAAATAAAATTTCTAATTTCAGTCATAGATAATCCCTCTTCCTATTCTCCTCTTTTAAAAAATTGGGTTTTAGGACTTCCATACAGAAAATTATTAGATACTATTTTAAGTAATCTATTAAGTTTACTAACTTACTACTTGTTTCCTATTGTGCTTTTTTGCATTTCCTTCCCTCAGTCTTTAAAGCTCCTAAGTTTTTCTGTTCTTCGAAAAATAGAAAAAATTGAACAGGCGTTGTTATTAACTATTGTGTCTTATGCTAAAGCTATTTTTTTGATCATTACATAATTTTTAAGATGTAGCGTCATTTGCTTACATCGAGTCAGAGATAGTGTGGATTAAATATTTCAAGTGTTTTACGTTTTAAAAGTGACGTCCTTTAAATTTTTTTTTAAATGCTTTTTTAATTATTTTTTAATACTTCTTTTAAGAAATAGACAGGTACTATCTGATAAGGTTGATTTAAAAATTTTTTAACATTCATTAAAAAAATCCACAGAAAAAACTCCTAAATAAAGGATAAAGAGCTAAAAAGAAATAAATTCAATTTTTAACTTCTTAATTATATACTATTATTATAAATTTAAATAAAAAAGAAAAATCTTTTATAAATATTTTCGTGTTATATAGTTTATTAGCTTAATTCGCCCTAAAAAGTGTGTTAATTGCCTATAACTAAGTTCCTATTGGATTACTATGAGGGCTACCTAAAATGGCGTTTATAATTAAATTCAAAGTTTTAATATGTCGTTCACTTGATTACTAAGAACTAAGACTGATAATTTTATTTTTCATAAATGCTATATTTGTTTCTTTAATAGTTATTTAAACTACGCCTCTAAAATTAACTTCATTAGCTTTATAAAATTTAAACATCTCATCTTTCTAGTTTTGTTGTTGTAGCGAAGTGTTTAATGAATTTAAAGATAAGATAAATGGCAAACAATGAGTCTAATGCACGTCTGACCGACATTCCAGATAATGAAAGAGAAAAAACAAAAAATTCCAGGTTATAAAATTTATAATATTACAAGTTTATGAATTAACTGATAAAATAAAGATTTGCTGCAAAAGAATATGGTTTTTTCTCTCCCAAAATATTTCTATATCTTTTAATGGGAATAACGATAATAACTTTTGTTGCTTTGGCTTTATTTTTGGCTCATTTCTTTATATATAAGGGTAATTACATCTTTTTTTACAAAGTAGAGATTAATGCTTCGTGGTGAAAATAAACCATTTTTATTAAGCTAATTATTAATAAATTATTTAAGGAAGCCACCGGTCCTGTAAAGTGCAACCCAACGCGCCACATCACTTAGCAAGACTAAGCGGACTGAAAAACGAATATTTGTATTTTTTTCTGTATATAAATAATTTCTGTTTATCCATGCTAAGGTATAAGTAATAATGTATAAAGTTACGGATTATATTATAATCGCGTTGTTGTTAGTAAATAGTTCAAACCTTTTTAACTAGGTATGAGTACACGGGAAAAGGTATTGAAGTTTACGTGGTTGATACTGGATTAAATGATAAAGCCCTGGATAATAAAGTCTTATCTCGACAATCTTTTAATGGCAACGGAAACTTTGAGGATGAAGATGGCCATGGCACACATGTCGCAGGGATTATTGGTTCCCAGGATTATGGTGTGGCTAAGGGGGGTATGCTTAAAATAAAGAACGTATAATATATATAAAGTCTCTTTTTTATCAATTTATAGTCCTCTTTCATAATCTTAAAGTCCTTGACGAGCATGGTGACGGTAAGGAGTCCCCAATGATTGCTGCGATCGAGTTTGCGATTAATTTAAGTAGAAAGAGAGGGAAAAAAAGTAATATTTAACGATCAAATCCTCCTTTTGTTAAACAAAATTGTATTTTATGCGTAGGTATTATTAATTTGAGTTTTAGCGCGGGTAACCAAAGTCATTCCAGAATTTTTGATGGAGCAATATTAGAGGTATATATGTGAAAAAAACAATTCCATCCAGCTTATCTTAACTTTAATATAGGCTGTTAATGCAGGGCTGATAGTTATTGCAGCCGCTGGAAATGATAACGTTGATGCATGCAGTGTATCCCCAGGAGGGTTCGTAGATAAAACCTAATTATAAAATATACTTAGTTTTTACTATTGCTAGATCTGCTCTTGCTATTACAGTTGGGGCAGTAACCATGAAAGATGAACAAACAAATTTTAGCAACTATGGGGACTGCGTGAGTATTTATGCAGTAGGCGAGAGTGTTCCCTCTTTAAGTTCGTTATTATACATTTTTAGTTACAAAAATTTAAACACTTTTAAAGAACTCATAATATACGAATTTTTTCTACTAAATATAATTAATTGCTATGAATTTAGCTATTCCTTTGAAAAACGGTACCCAGAGTTCACCAAAAATTCGATCAGGAAGTTCCCAAGCTTGCGCTATTGTAACAGGTCTTGCGGCTATTATTCTAGAACGATTTCCAACCTATGAACAACAAGAAGTTTATGAAGAACTCTTAAATTATGCTGAAAAGGGTGTTATAAAAATGCAACATGGTTATAACAATTTTCTCGCTCGTGGATTTTGTAATAATAGAAAAAACCGTCATTATCTCGTAAAAAAATTCCCTCTACTAACTTTCATTTTGTTAATTATGGTCAATGTTTTAACGAGTTAATAAAAGAACATTTCTATTTGTTTCTTTACTTTTACTACTTGCCCAGTTTATCTAAATAACATTAAATAAAACTTTAATTATCCTAAACAAAGTAATAACTTTAGGTTGTTAATAGTAACAGCTGCAAATTTTTTAAGTTGAAACAAATTTGTAAAAAATAGGCTTTAATATGCCTCATCAGAGCTTATTATTTATTTTAAAAATTTTAAATAAAATATTTCTATTCCAGCAGTGAAGCTTGACTTTTTTCTTGGACTTTTAGACTGGTGGAGCTTAAACAAAATATCATGATAATAATTAGGATAATACAAACTACTAATGCGCCCCCAAAAGCAATAATTAGTATCATAAACAGCTTTTTTTTGTATTTCCTCTCTTTCAGTTTATCATTCAATATACCAACTTTTATAATAGGGAGCCCTTTTGAAACATCAATTTTATCAAGAAAAACATAGTTATTTGGGTTCTGGGTATTCGAAACTTCGTTTAAAGAATTTTTTTTTAATTTTCCTAAGTGGTCATTAGAAATAGGAAATAAAACTTTGTTTTGTAGTTCTCTACCACCAAAATTTTCAACGGAATCTTCAGAGTTAAGCAATACGCTTTCCTTTGTTCTCACAAAATTCATATCCGGGATGGAGTTATCAAGCTCTCGGTTTCTAAGGCCGTCGGGAGGTTGACTGTTATGTGCAGCGGTTATCTCTGACTTCTTTGGCTCAAGATCTAATTTTGAGTTTAAAAATTTTCTTAGCTTTCCTAGTTCAAGCTTTAATTCTAATTTTTCGAGCATACTAATTTTTTTGTGGATTAGCTTACTTAAGCTATCTTTCCAGGACTTTTGTAAGTTATGCTTTCGTTCTAACCCTACAGGATTACTAGGTTTTGGTTGTCCCTGCTCATTTTTTAGTAAAGAGTCTCCGTCTAAAGGTTTTTGCTCTACTTCTTTGGCGCTTTCCTCATCCTTCGTGTTTTCATCGTTACTAGTACTTAAAGTTATGGAAGTAATGCTTTCTTTATCCTTCAAGTTATTGCGAGGTTGTTTTGGTTGACTTACTTGCTGATCCCCTCCAGTGGGGTGTCCTGCTACGCTATTTGGTGAAATACCTTTTAAAGACATAGTCATGTCATAAAGACAGTCTAACGGACTTTTCGGCCCCTCATTTTCGAATCGAAAAAAAAAATCCTTTTGAGTTATGGCTAAAAAAAAATTAAAAAAAAAAAGCGCTTTACCAATAGTTTAATATTAGTCATTATGGAAAAAAAACCTTGACCAGTGGGTGCCGGAGGAAGCATTTTTGATTCAATATACTCAAAAGTTACTTGTCGAGGAGGACAGCGAGAAGCAGAACTTATTTCGTTTTTAAGTATTTTAAAATCCTTGGCGGTGGTAGCAACGTTTGGTATTTGAAATTTGGAGGTAACATACTTTAGCTCTACTGGTTTTATTTTAAAATTCCAACCTTTGCAACCTTTCATAGCGTTACCCAATAAGTCGTAAACGTTGCAAACCTAGTACAAAAGAAAATATCGTATTATAACCATGAATTTAAGTACAATTTTTGTGAATGAATAACGAAATTGTCTAGCTTTGAAACATTTCTATATACCAATTACATAAATAAATATATAATTTATGTAATCAGGTGTTATACATAAAATTTAGGGATCCACTTGACTGTAAGATACGATTAAACTTTATATATTAAGCATAAAGGAAATTTAGGCATCTTGTTTGGTAATAAACGAAGCCTTTCCTCTTATTTATATCTCTTGGTTAAAAAAGATTAATTACTGTCATGTGGTGCTGTGTAAAACTATTTTAATAAACTGCATCGCCAAGTAAGCTCTCTGTAAAACGTTAGTTTTCAATTTAAACACGATAAAAACTATCGTTTTTGGTTTGAGTCTAAGAACTCTTTTAGGGCCACTTTTAATTATGAAAAACAACTGTTTAATTTTTCCTTAAAAAATTTAAATAAAATATTTTTTAGGTAGTTATTCCCAAGGTGCATTGAGAAAATTTTAAAGACAAGGGATTGTAGGTTGCTTTTAAATAATCTACAACTCTTTTAATTAAGAAGTTACTACTTTCTCAAAAGGGCAACTTAAGTAACAGCTCAAGTAATTAACTCGAACAAACATTAGTGATCTCTCATTCTTTCCGCCTTTGAACAGCAATTACTAATTTAATAATAAAATTTTTTACTATTATTGCTTCATAATTAGAATTTTAATGTAGTTTTAGCAACAAAACTCTATAGCAAGAATAAATTAGTAAAAAAACTATATTGTTTTACCTCTAATCTCGAGGGACGATTATTCATTCCTCTAAAATTCGCTAACGAAGTAATGTATACAGAAATTTTGTTGTTCCTACATTCTGATATTAAGCCCGGAGTAACTGAATTTCCTTTTAACGATAATATAAAGAAAATTAATGCAAACTCTAGAGGACAACGAATGTTATAAAGAATACCTTCTACACTGGTTACGTCGTAATATTTTCTCTTTTCGTATAAAGTTAGAATAATATAATACTTTCGTGGGGTGCAGTCGATACTTCTATTGAATATGATTTCAATTTCATCCCCGATAGAATAATCTTGAGTGGCTAGCAAAGGCGCTTTAAGTATATCAGGATCTTTATCAAGTAAATTACTTGTATTTTCACTTGGTTGCTTTTTCAAAACTGTATTATTAAATGTTAATAATTTATATAACAATTGGCAAATCTTATCTTGAAACAAGTTTTTTGCAATACAATTATAACATTAAAAACATTTAACCCTAACTCCAATATAATTGTTAAAAAGGTATGCATTAATTTATACGTTATAAAGAAAATACGTTACTCTAACAATTTTTTATAGAGGAGAATTCCCATTACTCTCCGTTTTAACGATTATTCATAATAGATAATAATATCTACCCCCACTTTCTTTATAGGTATTCACAAGCAAAATTGATACTGTCACCAGCGCAATAACAGAAATTGTCGCAATTACGAATAGAATGTAGACAGCAAGAAGTTTTAATGTATTTCTGGATGTTCGGGCCCTGGATTATAATAACATTAGGTGTAAAAAATTTTAAATAGCTAATAATGTAGTTACATTTCTTAAGTTTTGCTTTTAAATTTTTTAATATGATGAAAGAGAAAAATTGAACTTCCATGTGTTATATGAATAATGAGTAAATTATAAATTTTTACATATAACTTTAATACTAAATTAGGTTATTATACAAATTGATTGGAGATTCAAAAGCAATTTAATAATTTATTGGGTTTTTATTATATTAAATAATAAAAGACTAATGTAGTATAAAAGCAAATTACTGTTTCTTACTTAGATTTATTTGATTGATTAAGTTGCTTTTACTGAATTATAGTAAAGGGTGAAATTAACAACTGAGCATCACATCCTAATAATTTCTCTCGTACTAAATCATAAGTCTACTAATTAAAAGAATCTAATTTTATATAAAATTTGCGGTCACGTAGATAAATGACAAATATTAATTTACCCACTACGGAAAACTGAAATTACACTTTTCAAAGTGCTTGATAAAATGTAATTTTTTGGTGTAATTTATTTATAACTTGTTCAATATGTGCATCTGCCATAACACTTTAAAAAGGAAAGAGGGTTGAACTTTATTTTAAAGTCTATATAAACTTCATATTCCAAAAAGTTGCTAATTAAACATAGTATAAGTTTCTATATAATAATTAACGATGAAGATCAAGCTAAGCCTGCTGTTAGTCGAATATCAATACTATTTTAAAATTTAATACACTTTGGAAATAACGTATATAACTATCCCTGTAACTTTTACTATAAAAAGTGTGTTAAAAAAATGTACTCTCCTATTGTAATTAACTTTTTAAGTTATTTTTAATAAAGTAAAAAGTTATAATTTATATAGGTAATTATTATAAATATTTTGACAAAGAATTGTTGAGCTGTTTAAAGTATATATATAATTAAAATCTCTTAAGTTCAAAAAATATGTATGGTGGGTCCTTTTAGCAAAAGAGCAAAATAGCTACTTAAAATGTTATGAAACTGCTTTAAAATATATTAGAACTCTATCTATAAAATTTTATTGCACATATCTCCGACTTTATTGTGCTAATTCAACGAGAACATTCATATTTTCCAAGAAGACGGAAATTTAAGTAAGGTAAGATTAATATTAGATGACAGTAGAATATAATAACAACGAATAATAAATTATGATCTATTACCTTGATAATAAACGATTTTTACTTATTTGTTAGAAATATCAGTCAACGTTCATATATATATTGTGACCAGCTACGCGACCGCACTAGATGCTCATGAAAAGTAACTTTTGGGGGTCTCTGTACTTCCTGCGATCCTAATACTTTGTTACCGTTAGTCTGTAAAGTTATTTAAAAACATTACTACTAGTCATATT